TTCATGATAATTAAGTTCAACTAATCAAATTATTAGTGAACTCCCACTTAGATTAGACATCCCTCCAGTCATCTAAGTATTACATGATCCGAGTTAACTAGACCGTGTCCGATCATCACGTGAGACGGACTAGTCAACATCGGTGAACATCTTCATGTTGATCGTATCTTCTATACGACTCATGCTCGACCTTTCGGTCTTCTATGTTCCGAGGCCATGTCTGTACATGCTAGGCTCGTCAAGTCAACCTAAGTGTTTGCATGTGTAAATCTGTCTTACACCCGTTGTATGTGAACGTCTGAATAAAACACCCGATCATCACGTGGTGTTTTGAAACAGCGAACTGTCGCAATGGTGCACAGTTAGGGGGAACACTTCTTGAAATTATTTTGAGGGATCATCTTATTTACTACCGTCGTTCTAAGTAAACAAGATGCAAAACATGATAAACATCACATGCAATCAAATAATAAACGTGACATGATATGGCCAATATCACATAGCTCCTTTGATCTCCATCTTGGGGCTCCATGATCATCTTGTCACCGGCTTGACACCATGATCTCCATCATCATGATCTCCATCATCGTGTCTCCATGAAGTTGCTCGCCAACTATTACTTCTACTACTATGGCTAACGCGTTTAGCAATAAAGTAAAGTAATTTACATGGCGTTTCTTGATGATACGCAGGTCATATAAAAGAATAAAGACAACTCCTATGGCTCCTGCCGGTTGTCATACTCATCGACATGCAAGTCGTGAATCCTATTACAATAGCATGAACATCTCATACATCACATATAGATCATTCATCATTCATCACAACTTTGGCCATATCATATCACAAACCACTTGCTGCAAAAACAAGTTAGACGTCCTCTAATTGTTGTTGCAAGTTTTACGTGGCTGAATTAGGGTTCTAGCAAGAACGTTTTCTTACCTACGTTAAAGCCACAACGTGATTTGTCAACTTCTATTTACCCTTCATAAGGACCCTGTTCATCGATTCCGCTCCAACTAAAGTAGGAGAGACAGACACCCGCCAGCCACCTTATGCAACTAGTGCATGTTAGTCGGTGGAACCGGTCTCACGTAAGCGTACGTGTAAGGTTGGTCCGGGCCGCTTCATCCCACAATACCGCTGAAGCAAGAAAGGACTAGTAACGGCAAGAGAGTTGACAAATCTACGCCCACAACAAATTGTGTTCTACTCGCGCAAGAAGAACTACGCATAGACCTAGCTCATGATGCCACTGTTGGGGAACGTTGCAGAAAACAAAAATTTTCCTACTCGTTTCACCAAGATCATCTAGGAGTTCATCTAGCAACGAGTGATTAGATGCATCTACATACCTTTGTAGATCGCAAGCGGAAGCGTTCAAAAGAATGGTGATGATGTAGTCGTACTCGACGTGATCCAAATCACCGATGACCAGCGCCGAACGGACGGCACCTCCGCGTTCAACACACGTACGGAACAGCCACGTCTCCTCCTTCTTGATCCAGCAAGGGAGGGAGGAGAGGTTGAGGGAGATGGCACCAGCAGCAGCACGACGGCGTGGTGTTGATGGAGCTGCAGTACTCCGGCAGAGCTTCGCTAAGCACTATGGAGGTGGAGGAGGTGTTGGGGAGGGAGAAGGAGGCAACCAAAGGCCAAGGCGTTCAGGTATGAAGTCCCTCCTCTCCCCCACTATATATAGGGGTGCCAAGGGGGGGTGGCCGGCCCTAGGAGATCCAATCTCCTAGGGGGTGCGGCGGCCAAGGGGGGTTTCCCTCCCCCCCAAGGCACCTAGGAGGTGCCTTACCCTCCTAGGACTCTTGCCCCCTTAAACCCTAGGCGCATGGGCCTATGTGGGGCTGGTGCCCTTGGCCCATTAGGCCAAGGCGCACCCCCTTACAGCCCATGTGGCCCCCCGGGACAGGTGGACCCACCCGGTGGTCCCGGTACAATACCGATAACCCCGAAACTTGTCCCGATGCCCGAAACAGGACTTCCTATATATAAATCTTTACCTCCGGACCATTCCGGAACTCCTCGTGACGTCCGGGATCTCATCCGGGACTCCGAACAACATTCGGGTTACTGCATATACATATCCCTACAACCCTAGCGTAACTGAACCTTAAGTGTGTAGACCCTACGGGTTCGGGAGACAAGCAGACATGACCGAGACGACTCTCCGGTCAATAACCAACAGCGGGATCTGGATACCCATGTTGGCTCCCACATGCTCCACGATGATCTCATCGGATGAACCACGATGTCGAGGATTCAATCAACCCCGTACGCTATTCCCTTTGTCTATCGATATGTTACTTGCCCGAGATTCGATCGTCGGTATCCCAATACCTCGTTCAACCTCGTTACCGGCAAGTCACTTTACTCGTACCGTAATGCATGATCCCGTGACCAGACACTTGGTCACTCTGAGCTCATTATGATGATGCATTACCGAGTGGGCCCAGTGATACCTCTCCGTCATACGGAGTGACAAATCCCAGTCTTGATCCATGTCACCCAACAGACACTTTCGGAGATACCCGTAGTCTACCTTTATAGTCACCCAGTTACGTTGTGACGTTTGGCATACCCAAAGTACTCCTACGGTATCCGGGAGTTACACGATCTCATGGTCTAAGGAAAAGATACTTTGACATTGGAAAACTCTAGCAAACGAACTATACGATCTTGTGCTATGTTTAGGATTGGGTCTTGTCCATCACATCATTCTCCCAATGATGTGATCTCGTTATCAATGACATCCAGTGTCCATAGTCAGGAAACCATGACTATCTGTTGATCAACGAGCTAGTCAACTAGAGGCTCACTAGGGACATGTTGGTGTCTGTTATTCACACATGTATTACGATTTCCGGATAACACAATTATAGCATGAATAAAGACAATCATCATGAACAAGGAAATATAATAATAATGCTTTTATTATTGCCTCTAGGGCATATTTCCAACACATTCTTGCAATGAGAGCATCAGCTTGTTGTCGAACCTCTGCATGAAAACTTTCTGAAATCCCAGATTGCTTTCCTGTTGCCTTTCTTTTCCTTGATGATGCCAATGAACCAGATTCCTCAAAGGGTGGTAGAGGAAGTGTGTTCCTAGTTTTACTATGTGAAATAAGTAGAGCAGTTGCCTTATCTTCCTTGTGAAGTTCCTCAAAGAGAGGTTGTGTTATCTTGGTACAAGAGTTTATGCCTACATTTAATATCTTAAGAAGATGCGCTCTTATTCTTGTATAGCTGCCTGGGAAATCATTCATACAGAAGTGGCAACGGAAACGTGTGTTGCCTCCTCGACTTGATGGGTCTCTTGCTAGTTTTGTAGCATGCTTCCAGAATGGGTATTTCGGATTGACAACACCATTCTCAACCTCTTCCCCTGCACCATCAACCTCAATGCTGTTGCTCGCAGTACCACCGACTGAAGATTGGCTTGCTACCATGCTACTGCCCGCAGATGACATGGTGTATACTTGTATCTTCTTCCCTGGCAACAGGAGGCAACAGCAACATCAGCAAGTAATTTTACCCCACAAACATCAATAAGCAGCAAGCTAGCAACATCAACAAGCAATTTTATCCAACATTAGCTAGCAGGAACAGATCGAACTATTACTAGAGTATACATCTATGAGCTATGAGCCTATGACTATGAGAGTGCTATTTCTGCCTACATAAATGGATCAACGATACATAAAGCCAGCATAGACAAGCCCCAAGCATACATCAATGGATCAACCATACATCAGTACAACACATTGGGGCTCGGGTGTTTACCTTGTGTCGCCGGCGGAGAAGAGCAGAAGAGAGGCAGAGATGGGATTCCAGGAAGGGGCTGGGGTGAGCCACTCCAGGCGGCGACGGCGGCGGCGATGGCGAGCCACTCCAGGCGGCGGCGGCGGAGAGCAACTGATTGATGTGGCGGGGGCGGCGGCGCCGCCCTCGATCCCTTCCTGGTGAGTGGTGACGACAGGGTGCGACCGTGCGAGAGAGAGAGCTAGGTTTAGTCGACCCATCGTGGGCTATTGGGCTCGCTCGGGGCTGCATCGGCGTGTCCCAGCCGTGTCTCACGCGTTTCACAGCCGTATCGGCATTTTTTTCTTTTTTTTTAAATCAAAAAAGGGGATACTTCTGGGATACCGTATCTAAGCCGTATCCGGCGTATCGGAGTATCGGTGGCGTACGGAACGGCGATACACAGAAATCTGCCGTATCGGTGCTTCGTAGGCGGCAGGTGCTGCTGCTGTTGCGCGTCCGACGGGTCCCACGTGTTGGCTGGCGCGCCTGTCGTCACGGTCACCTGCGTGTGTTTCGGCGGTCACGCGCGTTGACACATGCATTGGTTTAGCAATGAGCTACTCTATGACGTATGGGTCCCACGTGTTGCTAGAAATTTATGAAAGAAAGAACATAATCAACATTAGACTCTATTTGTAGAGTTTATCGCGGAGAATACAATGATGCAAATAGATTGAAGTTTTATACATTGATTTAAGAGAAATAATCATCAAAAGAGGGCGATATGCACGTACAAAAGCTAGCCAGATTTATAGTTCATGTACACCCAGTCGTCTCATAGATGCATTGCTCTCTCTTTTAAATACTAGCAAAAAAGGCCCATGCGTTGCAACGGGAGAAACAAATCTTGCACGTCCTAGTTTGTGTTTCCACTTGAATGGCACATATTATGACTGAAATTTGTTGGCTGATCAAAAAGAGCAATTCGCTTTAGTACTAACTTCCACTTTGCACACTTTTTCAACTTGTAATGTAGTGTAATCATTTTTCCTAGAGGAATAGCTTCAAAATCAGAAATAGCTAGCAGGGACCCGAAATCATCTGATCACCAGCTGCTCTGCTCAGCTCACCGTGACTTCATTTGTACACTTTGTTCGTTCACTCAATATAAGAGATGAGAGAGATACAGTAGTATTCATAAGAGAATCTATTCACCAACTGATGGTTACTCATCACATTACATTATAACTTTCCATCTTTAACTGGAGCACCAGAGTGTACGCAAGCAAGCATTGGTTTGTAACCCATAGAAGACCATTTTTTTAACCTACAAAAGAGAGAAATTTAGTCCATATGGGCATCATCCTTTTGCACATAGCTAGCACGGACCTGAAAGAGATACAAACAAACATTTTTCTGAATATTAGTACAGTACAAAGTCCTGGGTAGGAAAATCCATTGGCGCGCTCTTCCTCGTCTGGTCATGGTATCATTCACCGTTCGTCAGCATGCAGATCAGACACAGCAAAAGATTGTGGGACATACCTGATTTTAATAATGTAACAGGTTGGCCAACGATACCGTGATGTCGTTGTGATGGCCACACCCGTCGAGTTATCCTGTGGGATGCCGCCGCCGATCTGCTGACCCTGATCCGATCAAACCTGAACAGCCACCGGAAAAAGGAGTCAGCTAGTCATGTACGCCTCCTTCATACAGTCTACGATCTTCATAACACCTCTCTGCATGGTATCACCGCGGCAATCGCCGGAGTTGTCCATGCGACCACCAACGATGTGCACCCGTCGCTGCAAATGGATCGTCGTTATCCATTGTACGCTTCAGTAGGTGCAGCAAGTGTACCAAGAACCTACATAACTACTCATTGATCGGTCCAACGCTGCGAGTGTGGGGGTTCAATCGCTTGCTGCGTCTTCCGCTACAAGTAGCCCACTCAATACTTCAGCAGGTTCTTCAATCGCAAGTCCAATATCTGAGCAGCAAAAAAAAGTCAAAGACCTGAGCAGCAAAAATTTACGAGTGAAGTTACCACCAGTGGAATTCAGAACAAGATAGATCAGCCGAGGTTAATGCACTGCATCAACCTGACTCAAACTCCATGTTGATTTTTCAGCAGCATATCTTGTTGCGGTTCTCCTCCCAACCAATCAATCCATGTGACGGTCTTCTTAGACTGTAGGAATACAATTACAAACTATAAGAAATGGGAACAACGAACCCTGTACAATTCACAACAGCTATTAATTTCAGGAAACAAACCAAAAAATGGTTTCTAATTCTAACTGCAATCTACTTTCAGGGATTCACATTAGTGCAGATCATTCAGTACAATATTTTTTGCCTAGTACACTGAAAAATCAAGGGGGCAAGTAAGTGCAGTCCCATAGCAAAATTCCTCTATACAGAAAACAACCTCTCAATACAGAAAACAGTAACTGTCAGAAGTTCAGAACAGAACTCGCAATGGATAACAGCATTCAGAAGGTTGTATCTTTCACTATACTCAGCGAAAATTTCAGAATAAATTATCCTTGGAAATTTCAAACCAAATACTGAAAATACATCCATAGACCCATGGACAGATTCAGCCTTGAAGTTACTTTAAAACGCCGCGCAAAATAGGAAGTCATGCCTGAAACTGCAGTCTGACGAAGACTAATAGTAACTTCAGATAGGCATATCTCCTAGGAAATCTGACGAAAAATTGCAAATAAATATTCGTTCGAAAGGTCTTGAAAAGATATATACAACTTTTATTTTAATGGTCCGGTCATATTCAACACCTAAAACCCTCAAAACGCAATCGATCAGTTACTGCACGCACTGCAAACAGAGTTGTGCAAAACAGAGTTGCGAAAACAAACAACAGGAATGGAAGGATTACTTCACTTCATACCTACAACAGATCACGCCCCTGCCTTCTCTATTTCGCTCTTTCTATCCCTTCCCTGCAGCAAACCTTCTTTCAAGCTGCCTCAAACACCATGGGTTTGGATGGATTGGTGTCCTCCTGAATACTCTGGCCCATGAGGCTTTGTTGTCCTAGTCAGAATTTGAACTTATCAATAGTTTAACCTATCCAGAAAGTGCAATGACAACCTTAAGAATATGCTCTCCTGAATCAGATTGGGATTGGATCGGAGAAGCTCACCTTGGCCTCCTCACATCAGTCGATGCTTGATGCTCCCCAAGCCGAGCCATGGTCTTGATTGCCGCATCCAAACCTGCTGCAGCACACAACACACTCCTATATTTCGGCAAGCCCAAATTCACCTGCATTATTACATCTGCAAAAAATCATTACCAGGATTGCAGAACAAATACACAAGGTTTCACACTTTTGCTGGGACTAAGCTACATAGTACATACTGAGACATAAGCCATGTACCGAAATAATTACTCTATACCCAAAACCAAATAATAATCTAACTCAAAATAGCTCTTTCATGTATCACATGTTTAGATTCAAATACTGCAGTTGTCGACACCTCTACAACAATACTATGTTATCCTCCATTAATCATTCATATGATCCTTAGATCATCGATCCACCAGTACTGGTACTACATGAGTCAGGAAAGAAATCTTCCCTTTTCACAACAAAGGTAGCACACTACCCACTTCCTTATTTGTACAATGTACTGTGTGTCATAGTACAAAGCCTATACCCATTCATTAATCACTCACGCTCTCCCACTCACTTTGTATTGTCCTCATTCTCTCTTCTCCATACCATTCCCTTGACTGATACATAGCAGCACTAACTGAATTTTGCCGCTGGATCACACAACGTATCACACATTCAAACTATCCATGTAAGATTGGCACACAAGATCATCAATAAGAGTCTCCCTCAATTGCATATACATGCACAAAAAAGAAGTGGAATTCAGAAATTAATCAAGTAGATGTTGTACCTGAACCTCCTGTAGGATTTGGGGGAGGTGTCAGCGAGCCAGGCGTCCAAGTCCTCATGCGACGACGGCGCGTCGACGGAGAGGATGCGCAGGATCTCGGCGGGCGCCATGGTGGAGGTCGCGGCGGATTGGGCGGCGCCGGATCGGGTAGAGGAGGTGGAGGGCGCGCGGGTCCGGGAGGGAGGCGCCGGATCTGGCAGGTGGAGGTCCCGTGGCGGCGTTCGAACCTCCAGGGTGAGCTCGAGGACTGGGCATTGGCGCTGGCGCTGAGCTCCTGGAGAGAAGGAGAGAAAAGGAGATTAGAGAGAGAGAGAGAAGGAAGGGGAGCGGCGGCGTGACCTGGGAGTCGCCGGCGCCGATTGCCGGACGATGCGCGAGGGAGGCCGGGGAGGAGGAGGGTCGGGCGCTCTGCGGGCGCTGGTGGTGGTGGCGTACGGGAGCGGCGGCACTCGGGCCTCGGCGGGCTGGATCTGGGTCGAAACGTTTTTTCCACTTTAAAAAGGACCGCGAGTTGAATTCAAAGAAATACAGGGGCATTTTTGCAAAAACGGCGACGACGGACGACCAGAAGCAATCGTTTATTATTAGAGGAAAGATTTTATATATGCAGAAGAGGTGTCGTGCGCTGTCTAGTCATCTGTCAGGCCAAAAAGAAGGTGTCACCGCTCCCTAAGGCGACAGGGGCCACCTCCTATCTCCCGTTCCGTTTCAGCTCCGGCACTCGGCCGAAAATTTGTTACGCGGCGCCTGGTCCAATGGCGGCAGGGGCTGCCGCCTCCGCACGTGGCAGGCGCGCCACCAGGCAAGGCTCAAATAACGAGGCATGTGTGACCCGAGAGCCGAATTGCATTTTTTTTCCTTTATTGTACGCTGCTCACCGAAAAGAATTAACTTGGTTGCACGACTCATTTATGTGTGTATTTTCGTGTATTATATCTTCTACTCTCTCCTTCCATCTAGGCCTAATGCGTTTTCCAAAACGATTTTTAACTATTGACAAGATTAATAATTAATGTAAAAATTATATCATCAAAATCTTCTTTCACATACGAATTTGACAGTGTGCTTTGTGTAAGTTGCATGTCATATATTGTTGCTTTAACATTTGATCTGAGTTAACCTCAAAAAATGTATTAGACCTTAAGGAGTATCAGTTTAGTTATTACATTGTAAATTTGTGAATTTTTTCATCATTATTAAATTTAACTAACAATTACATCAATTTTATGCCACTAACCGACCTCCACTATAAGCTTTATTTGTGAGAAGCGACAAGAATCACAAAACCCCAAGAGTATCACGCCTCCACCTTCCCCCTCATCGTCTATGTCTGAAAGACGTTGCCAGTGGCTATTCCTCTATTGCAAAAAAAAATCTATCAGATCAGGTCTGACCCATGAATGATACGTACCACCCTTCATTTAAAATCAGGAGGAGAGATTAGATGCTCTCCGTCCTTAAAAAAGTGTATCTCCAACTTTGTTAAAGAGTAAAACTATTTAAAAGTTTAATATGTTTGTGCAAAAATATATCAATATTTATGAAATCAAATAGGTATATAATGAAAATATTATATCATTACCAAACGCTACTAATTTGACGGCATAAATATTGATATATTATTATATAAATACAGTCAAATATAAAAAAATTTGACTTTTCAAGAAAGTTGAAAATACACTCTTTGAAGGACGAAAGAAGTATTTCCCGATTTGATGGGTAACAAAAGGCTCATGAAAAAACCAAAAAGGATACATAACCAGAGCTTCAAATTTTGACATCTTATGGAGCCATAATATATGCACACCGATAACTTAAGAAAAGGACATCAAAAAACATCAAAGCATTTAAAACAATAATCAGCACACATCAAGGACTACTTAAATCATTCAAATTTCACATAACACAGGCACATAGCAAATAGTTCAACAGGCATGCCTGGACGTTCAGCCACAGAAAGGTAGCAAAATTTGACGGTGGAAAAGACTCCAGCATAGGACAGGTTCCACAGGACATAACACCACGTAAGCTTAACGGTAGCGGCGGAGGGAGACGGTCTGGTTCCTCTTCCAGGTGGCTCTCCTTGAGGGCCTGTTCTTGTGGTGGCGGTGACCCTTGCCACGCAGACCACGGAATTTCTTTCCTGCAGAGGTGAGACCACGCAGCTCACGGTGCTTGTGCACAGGCTTGCAGAGCCAGTTGATCCTTGGATCGTTGCGGACAGCGCTGTGAGCAACATCAACAAGGATGACCTCAAAGTACTTGTAGGTGGAGTCCTACATCACAAGAAATGGAAAAGGAGAGAAATTGATAAGGTGAGAATAATAATTCTCAGTCATTTCAACAAATTTCAGCAATGAACAAATGCTATACCTCATTCACCCAGTAGGAGTTGAGGACACGAAGACCACCAAGCCTGCGCCCAGCTCTTTCCTCAGCAACAGACCTCTTGTTCCTCTGGAACTTGAGTTGGGTAATACCCTGGTGCTTGGGCTTGCCATAAACAATACCCTTGGGCACTGGGCGCTTCCTGCCACCACGTCTCACACGGATACGGTAGATCACATAACCCTGGAAACAAGAAACATAGGTAGTCAGCTAAGGGAAAACACCAAGCAATTATAACATGGAGAAAAGACTGCAAAGCAATAATAAGAATTAAAGAGACAAACATCTGTTATTGGACTAAAATTCAGAGGAAACAAACTATGGAGCAATTTAACCAAATGGTACTCGTAATATCTAATGCCTTCACGAGTTAGTATAAACTCAAGCAACTTACGGCGTATATGCGAACATACTTGAGTGTGTACGAATCACATAGAAACAGGATCTAAATGATTAGAGTAAACCATGTCAGCGCCACACAAGTTTCAGGAACAATAGACTGAATGACATGGTCCAAATTACTTCTCAGAAACACGTGTACAATTAAGGAAAGCTGTTAAAACATACAAACATGTGATCAGGGCATCACAGTTGTAAAGTCAGATCCGTTCCAAGACAAACTGCCGTTAATGTGCAATTAAGGAAAGCTGTTAAAACATACAAACATGTGATCAGGGCATCACGGTTGTAAAGTCAGATCCGTTCCAAGACAAACTGCCGTTTATTATTGCAGAAGAATGGCATATAACTTGCATCAACTAAAACTAAACCATGCTTCGACGAGACAGAAAAAGGTACATTTTCCACGCACAACGAACAAAAAAATACATACGCAGAAAACTATATACATAAGACAGCAATCACAAACATAGCCAGCATGATTTTTTTCACGCCCAGCCATGGCATCGTAGAAGGAACATAAGAGAGGATCGGATCTAAGAGATAAACCAAACCTGTTTGGCCTTGAAGCCGAGACGGCGTGCCCTGTCGGGGCGGGTGGGCCTGGTGATGCGGACGATGGCGGGCTGCTGCCTGTACTCCCAGCAACGCACGCGCTGCACGAACCTCATCACGTCGGACTGCTTCCTCCTCCATAGCTCCGACACGAACTTGTACGCGCCTGCCACGACGAATCCATCACAACGAGTGCGCGATAATACGTGGGAGAAGGCAAACAGGCGAGATTGCGGGAGAGAGAGGAGCTAGTAGACGGAAGGGCTCACCCATGGCTGCGGCTGCGGCGGCAGAGGGCGGAGGCGGCGGGAAACGGGAGTGTGTGGTGACTTAGGGTTTCGAAGATGCGGGGAGAGCGGTCTTATATCGAGGAGATGGGCGCGTGGTGGCCGTCGGATGGGCTAGGGTTCTGGAATGGTCGGCCGTCAGGGGTCCAGTGTGCTTTCATGGGCCAGGAAATAGGCTTATCTCCGTGGCACCTGGGCCTAGCAAAACGTCGCGGCACATTATTTGTGCACGGAAACTATTTCCTTTCAAATATAACTTCGACCTAAGAGCTCAATAAGACATACTCGTTACAGTGACCTAACCTGCAGGTCCTATGAATCAGCAATGAAATGCGACAGCGGAAGCGCCG